CAAACAAAACATCACATCCAACCCATAATCATTACATTCTTCTCTCACAAAAAAACTCAAAAAAGCTAAAAAGTCAAAAAGTCCTTCCCAAACCAAACTTTTAAGCCCAAGTTAAAATAGTCAAAAAAGTTAAAAAGCTAAAAAGCCAACCCACTTCCCAAACGGAGGCTCTGCGAATGTTTGGTTACTACTGGTTTAAATTTTCTATTTGTCCAGGGAAATAAAAATAATAGGGAAATAGAATTAATTGCATCTACTCAGTTTTTTACGCACTCAGCCTATAAATTCAATTTAAATTTTTTTGGACAATTGGTCTAAGCTCTATTCTATTAAGACCACAAGAACAATTACAATTTAGAAAACTATTTCCCCCTCTATGTCTTCTCTTTTTCTGTCCCTTCCATTATTATTTATCTTTTTGTCAATCTATCTCTTATTTGTATGTCTATTTGTTCATTAGCAATGCTAGGTATCATGAAAAACCTTTCATGAAAATAATCATGAAAGCTTTGTGATTCTTGGATTAGACTTAAAATAAAGCACCACACACTAATCAAAGTAATCTAAGGATCATAAATCTTTCATGATCATTTTCATGAAAAAAATTTCATGATCCTTAACTTTTCTCTTTATCCATGTTACCATTGTCCGTCACTACCGTCGACTTTCTAGAGACTTTTGACAACTCTCCAGCAAAATTCCAACCATTAAGAGAGAGAAATTATAAAAAGAACTATCAGTTTATCAGTAATAGAAATATATTTACATTAATTGAATACCTTCATAATTGAGAGAGAGAATGAATGAATGAATAATCACAATGACAGTTAACAACGATTAGTATATGAATCAGTGGCAAATCGGACCGAAAAAATAGCTGGAAACTCATTGGCAGTGTCTATAATCCTCGTTTGCAGCTCCACAATCAAAATTATAAAATTTTCGTTTGCCAAACATCTTTGGAACTTTGAAAGACTTGGATTTTTATTACAATCTTTAGCAAAAAGAGAGAAATGTTTAAGAATGAAAGGCATGTCTTGAATGAGAAGTTGAAATGTTGAAAAATGTGTAATCATGATCTCTACAAATGAGGAGACTCACAGGAGATAAAATCAGAAAAATTGAAAAGTTAAAAGTTAAATCATGTGAAATGATGTCTATCCCTAACGATGACAGGATTTGGGATCATTGTTGTTGTTGATGCATAGCGGTGATTGTAGTGTGACTTTTGGGACTCGTTTTGAGTTTTATTTTCATAATTTGAATAGTCTAAATTTTAAAGAATATAGGAAAAAGTATATTTGTAAAAAATAAAATTAATTGGATATCGATAATTATTTTTTCAAATCATATTTGAAAATTTTAAAAATCTTGAGTTTGTAATTTGCAATTAGGATTCAATTTAAACAATGAATAACAATTACCAATCAAATGCAAGTAGGTCTAATCTAATTACACAAGAATTGAATCATATCTACGAACAACAACGACAAATCAACACAACGATATAACGTGGGAAAAATCACAATTGAAGCACCTCTAATTGTGAAAAAATTCACTGGTCAAAACTATAAAATAATCCATTAAGAAGACAAATGAATTACACACGAGAACTCTCAATTACTTAACAAATCCCCGCTCAATTGAATCAAACTCGTTGTGCCTCTTCTGTCACTGTCTTCACTTCAAAATTATTTTTCCCAACGTTGAATCCACAACGCCAATATCGAATCCACGACAATGAGCCACTCCAAACTCTACCAAAGTTTTAAACTCAAGTTTCCCGGAATCCACTGATCAATATATCTTTTCGAATTTGAATTAAATGAAAGAAATCTCTTGATAATCTTCAATATAAAGCTTGTTGATCCACAGATTACTTTCAATCCATCAAGATACAGACGTGGATCACTCTAGTAACATCTTCCTCTATTTTTCGCACTCTAGGGTTGAATATTTGGGAGTCCAAGTCAAATTTGATCCAAAAACGCACATTTAAGTAGCTGAAACCGACTTAGACCGCTCAAGCGCTCAATATATCGCTCGAGCGAACTTTTTTATGATCTAGTATATTTCTCTGAAACTCTGAGATGCTGTGAGCTTGTCTTCGTTGTGAAATTGTGTACTTAAATCAAATAAGTAGATTCATATTGAACAACCACTTTGAATTTCAAAATAAGAACATACTAAAATTTATAGAAATTCATAATAAAATAAAACTAGTAGTAAGAAGCAAACTGAAACTTGTGTGATACTACAGTATCCTTAAAACAGATTAGCCGTCTCACCATGGGTGCTGGAGATATGTTGACTTCTGTCTCCCAGGATACGACGGTCAAAACCAACTAATGCAGAAGCACCTTTTGAATAGTTTCGGTAACCTTGATAATGGTTGCACTCTCTCTAACAAGAACCAAATAAGGGACTCGCAAAAGAAGATAGGAAAATTTTCTTTGGTGTAAAACCATCTCCAACTCTTTATCAAAAGACCATCTCTATTTTCCATCAAAAAAAAAAAAAAAAACTCTCAAAAGTTATATCTTTTAAGTTGGAGGGAAATGACCTCTATTTATACAAGTAAGGGGAATCCCTAGCCATAAAGGCTATACATCAATAGGCTCATCAAATGCTATTAACTATGGCCATCAACTCTAGCCATTAGGGCTAGAGTTACAAAGGTTGAAAACCTATGGCCACTAATATGGTCATCAACTCCATCATCAAAAGATGAGAGTTACAAAGGTCTAAACCTCCCATGTTCTCAATATATACAAACAAATATGTATGTAATGATATTTGAATAAACCAACTAGATTTGTAACACCCTGCAAATTCACACATGAATACACAACAACAAGCACAGCAAAATATAGTATAATCATCTTTCTCATTGAACTAAGATTCAAGAGTTTGCAATTACAAAGTTTATATTTCCACAGTACCTTGAACTCATCTCCAAGTTCAATGACCTAAATGATATTACAAAAAGAAAGGCCCCCAAGGGCATGCAACATTCCAAAATGCTAACTTGGTACAACAAAGTAAGTTTCTAAAGTTGTAATACAAAATTACTGGTCTTAACAACCAAAATGTTCTTGATCTATCAAGTCCAAACTGAACCACTGCTAAATCCAAGTCACTTCTAAAGTGGTATATCATCATCTACTGAAAAAGAAATAGGGGTGAACCATATTCCCAATAAGAGTACATTTAACCAAGTATTTAATCATTTAAGCAAGCCCACAGCATCATTGAGACATGACAAGGTGAGTAATTAACATACATTTATAAACATAGTTAATTATGTAAACTAATGCACAGTTGAATAATCACACTTCCATCTCACACCAAGCATCATCATATTGAACGAAAAACAAACCATGAGTCCCCCATAAGAGTCTGAATTAAAATTCAAATCACTTCAGGAAAAAAAACCTTCCCACATTTACCGGCTATTATATAGTAGGACGTGGGCACCCAAAATCATCTGTTTTTCCACTTTTACTAGTTATAAGACAGTAGGACTAGTGGACACCCAAAACATTTTTCCCACATTCGTCCAGTGACAAGCTCAAGATAGGGCAATTGGGCACCTTAACTCCTCGCACGGGTACCAACACACACAATCACAACAAAATCGACTCTTAACCAAAGACTCATGCTCAATTTACCAAATTTTCATTCATTCAACAAGTATTCAACACAATACGAAATGAGACACAACATCACACTCAAGAAGAACCAAATTTTCATTACAATATCCACATATTTTCTCCTTTACTGTTCACAAGACTCCAAGATTTTAAGAAAATTCCAATTAAAATACTACTCTATACTTAGTTGGAAATTAGGGTTTTTAGTTAAATTTAGGGATTTCCCTCTATTTTTATATATTTAATTTCTTAACATTGATTTAATTGACATACGGGTAACAAGTGAGTAGAATGACCCTATTTGTTAAATCCAAAGTTTAATCCAACTCAATCATTCAATCAAGCTTTAAAATTACAACAATACCATACAAATTCCTTCAAATCAAAGAAATACTAGGTTAAAGGTAACCCTACCTCAAGTTATGAGCCCAAGAATTAAGGGTCTAGAAGAACTCTTCACCAAACAAAATTCCAATCAGTAAAGATGATGATCTTTAAGTGTTCTTCACCCTTTGTAAGAGCTTTAGGTTGGATCTCAAGAGAATAAGGAGTATTTTGAAGTGGAAACTTAGGCTTTTTTGGGCTTGAGACAAAAAGAAGGAAGAGAGAAAAGACGAGTGGAGAGAATGATCTAGAATCGTACTTTTTAAAGTGCAGAATTGCGTAAACCACTCGAGTTCAACTTCCTTCGCTCTAGCGGACAACACAATTACGAGAAGATCACTCGAGCGATAACTCTATCGCTCGAGCGAAAAATGAAAAATCCCAGAATTTTTGCAGAGCTATAGTGAAACTACTCGGAGCTCACATTCTACGCTCAAACGTAGCTTTCTACGCTTAAGCGGTCCCGCCTGAAAACTTGCGAGATACTGAGAGCAGCAATTCTCAGCTCGAGCGGTTACCTGGAACAAAATGTCACAATCTCTCCCCCTTAGGAAATTTTGCCCCCCAAATAGCATTCACTCCCAATTTGATAATTAGGTATAGCATAATAATATACTTATCAATTCTTAACAACATCCAATTAAACAACCTATCAATTAAAAACCAAAACCAAAAATAGGGGAGGATTTGAAGATCACCGTTCATTTCCAATCTATTATATACAAGAGGAAAGCAAGGAGAAAAATTACATCACAACTTTGAAAATAAATCTGGATATTTCTAGTGGACTTCAGCTTCACATTCCCATGTCGCTTTTTCAACACCGTGATGGAGCCACAATACTTTAACTAACGGAATTTTCTTACCCCTTAACACTTGTTCCCATGTATCTAAAATTTGGATTGTTCTTTCTTCATATGACACATCTTCATCCCCTTCAATCTCTGTCCAATCTAACACGTGAGAGGGGCCAGGTTCGTATTTGCAGAGAATGGACACGTGGAACACATTGTGAACCTCGGAGAGTTGTGGCAGTAAAGCAAGACGATATGCAACTTCTCTAATTGGTTCAATGATATCAAAAGGGGCGATAAATTGACGAGATAATTTTCCACTCTTGCCAAATCTCATTAACCCCTTCTTCGGAGATATTTTCAAAAATACGTGATCCCCAACTTTGAAAGGCAAAGGTCTTCGACGACGATTGGCGTAGCTTTTCTGTCAACTTCGAGTCATTACTAATCTTTGTCGAATAAGAGCTACTTTTTCAATTGTCTCATGAAATAACTCGGGCCCAAGCATAGATGAGTCTCCAACTTCTGTCCAACACACCGGTGATCTACAGAGACGTCCATAAAGAGCTTCAAAAGGTGTCATTTCAATACTGGCCTAGTAGCTATTATTATAAGTAAACTCAACTAATGGTAGGTCTTTAGACATTTGGACACGATTAAAGCTACGTCTTTCTTCATGCCTCTCCACCAAAATTGTTGGCTGAGGTCATGATACATTTTGGTGCCTCCCAGATGCACAGCAAGGTGAGAGTGATGGAAGTCCCGCAACACTTCATTCCTCATAGATGTAGGCACAAACAACTGGTCAAGGTAACGAATACTAGAGTCTGTATAGATTTTCAGGCCTCTTTCTTCTTTCTCTTGGGAGATTCTTTTTCTAATCACATCCATTTCTGGATCACCTAATTGTGCTTCTAATACTAGCACAACAAGGGTGGGTTGTGCCATAGTGTTAAATCATGAAGTTGCAAATCAAATTCACTAACATCCCTCATCATCTTCCATTCCCTTATTGTTAGATTGGCTAGAGTGCTTAAGGACTTTCTACTCAAAGCATCCGTTACAACGTTGGCCTTACCGGGGTGGTAGTGTATTTCAAAATCATAGTCTTCCAAGAATTCCATCCATCTCCGTTGACGCAAGTTGAAATATTTTTGAGAGAATAGATACTTGAGGCTCTTATAATTAGAAAAGACTTCAAATTTTTCACCATACAAATATTGTCTCCACAGTTTCAATGCAAAAACAATGCCGGCGAGCTCTAAATTGTGCATTGGGTAGTTCTTCTCGTGAGTTTTGAATTAGCGCGAGCCATATGCTACTACTTTGCCTTCTTGCATCAAAAGGCCTCCTAACCCTTCCTTAAAGGCATCACAATATACAACATACCCTAAGCCACGTTCTGGAATAATAAGAATAGGAGCAGTAGTCAACCTAAGCTTGAGTTCTCAAACAGAGTTCTCACATGCTTCACTCCGAACGAAATTTCACTCCTTTACGGGTCAACCTTGTCAAATAGGAAGCAATGAAGAGAAATTCTTCGCAAACCGGTGATAGTAACCAGCTAAACCCAAAAAAGTAGGAATTTCATAAACATTTTTAGGTTGTTCCCAATTCTGTACTACCTTCATCTTTGAGGAATCACCATAACTCCTTTTCCGGAGACGACATGGCCCAAGAACTTCACTTCTAGAAACCAAAACTCACATTTCTCATATTTCGCATACAAACAATACTCCCTAAGAAGTTGCAAAATAGTACGAAGATGCCCTTCATGCTCCTCCTCGGAAGGCGAATAGATTAGAATATCATCTATAAAGACGACCACAAATTTGTCAAGAAACTCTCAGAAAATTTGATTCATAAGATCCATGAAAGTGGTTGGCCCATTAGTTAAACCGAATGGCTTGACCAAGAACTTGTAATGACCATATTGGGTATGAAAAGCAGTCTTGGGGATATCTTCCTCCCTAACTCAGATTTGGTGATAACCCGACCTTAAATCTATCTTCGAAAAACAACAAGAACCTTTAAGTTGGTCAAAAAGGTTATCTATTCGGGGCAAGGGGTATTTAGTCTTAATGTAGCTTGGTTCAATTTTCGGTAATCGATGCACAGTCTTACTGACCCGTCCTTTTTCTTTGCGAAGAATGCTGAAGCTCCCCAAGGTGAGGTGCTAGGGCGTATGAAGCCCTTACTTAGCATCTCCTGTAATTGTTCCTTCAGAATGACCAATTCAGCTGGAGCGAACCTATATGGCAACAAAAAGATAGATGTTGTATCCGGTATTAAGGATCCGTTTGGGGACTTACTTTTTTAGGTCAAAAAGTTACTAAATTAGCCAAAAAGCCAACAACTTATACCAAAAAGTCAAAGATTCTCTTTTCTCTTTACTTTTTGCACATCTTTTCATAATTAGCCAAAAAGTCATCCCAAACATACAAGTTTTTTTTACTTACCTTTTTAGCCAAATAGCCAAAAAGTTACTAAATTAGCCTGTTCCCAAACGAGAGTTAAGTCTATAGTGAACTCAACTTCTCAGTGAGGAGGTAATTCAATGAGATCTTTACGAAAGACGTCGAGATACTCACATACTACCCTTGGAAACCCATCCCAGACTGTACCATTTGTGTCATCTAAAAAGTCTACTAAAAGAGAACTAAATTCACTGTGGCCAAATGGGCAGTACAATGAAAGTAAGAATTTATCACTCCCGTCTCCTAGAAATGTGAAATAGTTACCACTCGACGTGCATACGGTGACTCTCCGAAAAAATAATCTATAATAGCCCGGTATGTAGACAACCAATCCATGCCGAGAATGACGTCAAAACCCGACATTTCCAACAACACAAAATTGAACGGAAGTTGTCGACCTGCCACCTCAATTACACAACCCTAACATCATTGGGTCAAAATGACTTTACCCCCGATTGGTGACTCTACAGTGAGTGAAGATTTTAATTGTTTACTTTCTAACCTTAACAACAATGCAAAAGAAGTGGCTATGAATGAATGAGATGCCCTAGCGTCAATCAACACACTAGCCCAGGTATTGAAAATAAGAAATGTACCTCTCACAACTAACAGCCCTTGACATTTCAATTGAGAATCAATGATCTCGAACACCTAGTCAGTGTCCTTCAAAAAATATTTCCTATAATCTCAATGTTTTTAAATTCCACTATATCTACAACATTAATAGCAGCGTGCATCTCTCTCTTTGCATGTCAGTTCATAAAGAATATGAAATAAATATGTAAAACATATTCCCTCTAAATTTTCCTTACCATTATGTTAGGGAAAAACAAAAACCAAAATGCAAAACAAAAAACACAAAACAAAGAAAAAGCTAGATCAGAGCCTGGTTTGCAATTTTTTCCCCCCAACAAGCTCTTTCACCTCAAGAACTTGCAAGAAAACCCGAAATTTAGGTTGGGGTGACGAAGAAAAATTCTTGTGTACCTCTTCTAACTTGTCAAGGATCCCAGGCCAATGGCTGTGGTGTCCACTTGAGATGCAAATGTAGAATTCCCGATTTAGTTCCATCTATGGGTAATGTGTCTGTGAATTCCCCTTCTAATATAAACCTGGTGAGTGTCATGATGCATCTTCCCATTTTATCCTGACAAAGTGAGTCAAAGTTTGTGCAGTGGAATCATCAGTTAACAATAATGCTGCAACTACACTTCAAAAATCAGAAAAAATGGTGAGCAAGAAATTAGAAAAGCAAATTTAAACATTATAGGGATTTTCACAACATTATCAACGTAATAAAATAAAAATGTTAGTTCCCTGTAATATGCTTGACTTCTCGTAAAAAATATTTGTCATTCTTATTCTTTTGGGCTTGTGTGTGTCCAAGGGTGACATTTTCACAACATTACACAGATGGGAATAGAATACACTTGTATGCAAATCCTAAAACATGTCGATTGAACTTCTATTATATTCCACATTGTATAAACTAAACACCAGATTAATCACTATCAAACAAATGAGGTCACTGAACGAAAAGCCAGATTTTCCAACCAAACAAGGAAGAAATTGAAGGGACTAATTGGAGATTACCTTCCCGAAAGTGTCGTGATCATAGACTTCTGTGATTAGTAAATCATGTAACCCATCCTCAACTACAAAGTCAAATGTCTGATTCCAAACTGGATTCAAGGTGTTATTTACAACCTGAGAATGAGGAAAGAATAGGGTTCAGGCTCATTAGTTGAGTCTATAATAAGCAATGGTTGTAAAACCACATTAATAAATCTCCAAATTAGGGAGGGGACATAAGTGATTGTATTAATGTTAGAATATATTCACCAAAGTATTACCAAATTTTTAAAGAAAAGAAAAAGAAAAAGTTAATACTTTATACAATGAGTGAATCATATGTTCTTTTGGCTAGCAATTAAGGCTGTGTTTGGATGAATAATTTGAGTAAGGATTTATGGAGGAAAAGGAAAAAGGAAGGGAAAAGTTTATAATTAAAATTTAAAAAAAAAAAAACCTATATTCTATGTCATGCGTTTTTCCCATCTTTTTTTATTTCCCTTCAGAAATCTCCCCTCAAATCTTTGATTCAAATACAACTTAAAAGACAATACTGATTTTGAGAAAGAATTAAGAAGGAGAAGTAAAATGCTTAACAAATTGAATTTTATTAAGCATTTCTCTTAATACCACTCATTCTTTAAAAAAAGGAAAAAAAAAAAAAGAGGAGTTCAATCACACTAAGACAATAAGAATCTTACCTGAGTCTTGTGTTTCTGCTCAGATTTCTTCAGTACAAGCACAACAAAGGGATCCAATTTACCCATTAAATCTACAGCAGGCAAATTTTCGGCAGTTATTACTGTCACAGAAAGAACTCCTCTAACAATTACTACATCATTTCTCCTCTGAGAGCCAGATTTTGCAATGTCAGCAGCTTATGTTCCATCATTTCCTAATTTAAGGGCCTTCTCCAGTGAAGTCAACCAGAATTCGGTGTTAAAAGGATTTGTCAATCCACTCTCTGTGCCGAAAGGACAAAATAAAAGCTCCAAGTGAACCTACAAGATAGAGATGATTATCATTGTCAGAATAATTGCAATTAAAAGACAATACTTGTAATGATCTTAGCCCTTTGATCATCAATTTAATACGTCTCTTCTTGTTTAGATATATGACTTGGTTTGATTTAAAATAATTTTGAATCAAGGGTTGTTGATCATTTCCTGATTTAAGGGCCTTCTCCAGTGAAGTCAACCGGAAGTCGGTGTTAAAAGGATTTGTCAATCCATTCTCTGTGCCGAAAGGACAAATAAAAGCTCTAAGTGAACCTACAAGATAGAGATGA